ACCATATTTTTTATATGAATTGTGGTTAATTTTGGAGTACTCCTTGATCCTTAGGGAGTACTCTTTACACGAATGCATGGAGTAGTCGCGATTTTTGCAGGGTTATGAAAAGGCATTGATGAGTGGCAACAGTGTAGTAAGCAACACTGAGGGCTCCAGTAAACGACAAAATTCTGCGTATTCAGACTGCGTTTAAGTGTACGTTCTGCGTTCTTGACTAATTTTAGCTTTAGCATTATCACGCGCAACAGGTATACAGGGTGTCCCAGAAGTAACGTGCCACTGATAAACAAAAAATTTTCAGGTAAAAGTGTCACCGTGAAATATTTACATTTTTTCGAATTTAAAAAAAAATCGTGCCTTTTCATGTGTTTTCTTTAACTGCAACTACAAACCGGGCAATACTTAGTAAATTTTTTATGTAAAAGACTTCCAGATAGTTGCCTCTCCATACTCAAATGCAATGTAGTTAAAATATATTAAGGAACCATCATAAAATTAGGCCTATTTCTGGATTTTTAACTTTTTGATATTTTCTTCCCCAACTTTGACTATCTCGGGTGAAAAAAAAATGTACTGAGCTATAACTTTACATTACATAAAAAAATTGCTCATCATTTAATAAAGATTTCAGAAAGGTGCCACACTTACTGTTTTGAGTAGAAAAAAAAGTTATTTAATAGATTTAAATTGAATTTGCTCTTGTTACCGTCAAATGACATGCTAAATAGTACAAAGGTACATTATTACTTGCTTCTGACATTATTTTATGTTACTTACCGGAATTCGGACTAGAGTCTATATAAAGGGCTATATCTATCAATATTTTGTGTGAAGGATGGGTTCACGTGAAATAAGATATACATGAGTTGTTTGAAGAAAAATTTATTCATTTATTGATAAAATATGCTCAAATTGGCGACGCTTTTAGAGATCTTAAACTCAATTGGGCTATCTCAGCAGCAGCTCCATTTATTTGTTCCCGCAAATGCTCTTCGTTTTGAATTGTTTTTGAATAAATTTTGTCCTTGAGACAGCCCCAGTAGGAAAAATCGAATGGATTCAGGTCTGGCGATCGAGCGGGCCACGTGATTGGCCCGTATCGTCCAATCCATCGGCGAGGATAAGTTTCGTCTAAATGAGCTCTTACTTCACGCCCGTAGTGAGCAGGGCACCCGTCATTTTGCAGCCATAGTCTTCGCCGCAGGTTTAAGGGTACATCTTCCAAAAGAGTTGGAAGCCATTCCTGAAGGAACTCTAAATAACTGTGAGAGTTGAGCGTTGGCGGCAGTTCCACAGGTACCAATATCTGACAATTAAAAATACCGCACCATAAATTTATTTTGTACCGGTACTGCGAACGATCTTCTCTCATTTCGTGAGGATTGTCTATCTGCCTACTGTGAAGGTTATGTAAATTAAAATAACCATCACGTTTGCATGATGATTCATCGCTCCAAATTATTTTATTAAAAAAGTTGGGGTCTCATTCATGCATTCGCAACATTTCACGGCAAAATCTAACTCTCGACAGGTAATCTCTTTCTTGTAGAGCGTGAACACGTTGAATGTGGTATGGATGAAATCGATGGTCTTGTAAAGCTTTGTGAACTGTAGTTTTTGGTATTCCCGTCCGTCTTTCCATTATTCTCACTGAAGCCGATGGACCTAGTTCCACTTCCTCTAACACAGCTTCAACATCTACCGTTGCAGGACGTCCTGTTTCGCCGCCACGCCTCCCAGGTATGCGACCTTAAAAAAGTGAAAAATGATAGTTAACAAGCAAGCAAACAAGAAAGGTGTAAAAATCACTTACCTTCATATATTTCTCTATGGGTCCGGGCGAATACTTCACGACCCGGATGTCGACTGGGGTATCGCTCTGCATAGAGTCTTTGAGCAGCTCTGGCATTACAGCAAGCTTCACCGTAAATTAGGTGAATATCCGCATATTCATGCGACGTATACTGCGTGTTCTCTGTCATAGTATTAATAACACAATGTTCGAAGGGTCCAATTTCACAAAATCCACTTTCACTAATTCCGGTAAGTAACACAAAATAATGTCAGGAGCAGGTACCTTTAGCATGTCATTTGATGGTAACAAGAGCAAATTCAATTTAAATCTATTAAATACATTCTAGCGTGTCTCAGTCCTTTACCCACAAAAGCGGCTATAACTTTTTTTCTATTCGAAACAGTAAGTGTGGAACTTTTCTGAAATCTTTATGAAATTAGCAATTTTTTTATGTAATGTAAAGTTATAGCTCAGTACATTTTTTTTCACACGACATAGTCAAAGTTGGGGATGAAAATATCAAAAAGTTAAAAATCCAGAAATAGTCCTAATTTTATGATGGTTCCTTAATATATTTTAACTACATTGCATTTGAGTATGGACAGGCAACTATCTGGAAGTATTTTACATAAAAAATTTACTTAGTATTGCCCGGTTTGTAGTTGCAGTTAAAGAAAACACATGAAAAGGCACGATTTTTTTTTAAATTCGAAAAAATGTAAATATTTCAAAAACGGTGACACTTTTACCTGAAATTTTTTTGTTTATCAGTGAGCTCACCCCCCCTCCTACCTTCCCCTAAAGTTTGGCACGTTACTTCTGGGACACCCTGTATATAAGCGAGTGGCGTTAGCATACGACAACGGCATAGCGATGTTAGCATTAGCAGCAGTGTTGCCACACATGGGCTTTTCTTACCAAAACTGGTAGGTTTTTTTCCATTTGGTAGGTTGGTAGGCTTGATTGGATTTTGGTAGGTTTCGGGACAAACATTTTAGCATCCTTTTTTACACGAATATTTCACCGGTGCGTTCGTATAACGGCGGCCGCAAACATGTAAATATAACTGATCCCTAAGTACAAACGTTTACCCTTATTATTGCCAATATACAATACGAACATCCATATATCGCCACCTAAGGGCGAAAAGGTGCCAAGTCCATTTTTTTTTAATTCTTCGGGGGAGACGAAAAATCGATTTAGTTTCGTATTACCAGCCATTCTGCATCAAAAACCAAACTTTGGAAAAAAAACGGACTTGGCACCTTTTCAGAATAGTCTGCCAATGGGCTCGTACACAACCATATTCCAGGCGGAGGTCTTCGCAATCGAAGTCCATGTTAGCGATTGTCATCGTAGAATTCAAATGAGGCCAGAATAAATATTGTGTCGGATATTCAGGCAGCGTTAAAGGCCTTAGAGTCTTTTAAAACGGCATCAAGGCTTGGGAACTGTTGAACCACCTGGGAGCCCACAACAGCGTAACGCTGTGGAGGGTTCAGGGACATAAAGGGTTTGAAGGTAACGAAAGGGCTGACTATCATGCAAAGCGTGGAGCCCAAATGCGTTTGCATGGTCCCGTGCCATTCTGCGGTACATCCAAATGATACACTGCAGACCTACTTAGCAGCTAGCTGGGAATAATTTAAAATTGCTGCCGACTGGCGGAAGTCAAAGGGAATAAGAAAATCAAAGAGATTCAAAACTCTTTCCAGAAGGAACTCCGAAAGACAACCTGAGAGCACCCTGCAAGTTAACGTACCGTTTGAATTAAATGGGTCTTTCTGTAGAGATAGAGATAGGCTTTATGGGCTGGTGAAGGAAACCCCAGAGTATATTCTATGTGCCTGTCCACGAAGTATGAACCGTAGATTGATACACCTTGGAGAACTATTCTCTTCTTCATATAAAGTTTGGAACATGGCTTCATCCAAAGGCTGAGCTTTTTAAATAGCCTAAGGTTGGAGTGATTACAATTAGGATTTAGCACAATATATATTCTTAGGTCGCAGCGCGGGTATCTCCGACGTAATAATAGTAATAATAATATCGTCACTAGACACGAATAAAGACACTCGGGTGTTTTGACGACGAAAAAGGACGCGTGAAAAAAATTTGAGAAAAAAGACGCGTGAAAATGGATTCAACATCAAAAACTCTCTGGGAATTCGTATACTGTTACACTCGCAAACGTAGTTGACCGCGAACGTAAGTTTATGCGTCTTTCTTCGCCGTCAAAGAGGTTCACGCGGCTTTCTTGCCGTCACCTATGTTGAGAGTCTTTCTTCGCCGACATATTTTTATACGTCTTTTTTCGCTGTCAACTTTTGAGCTCGCGTCTTTATTCGTATCTAGTGATGATATGTATGTATGTGTAAAGAGACATAAATTTGACAAGTCTGTACAGTAAAATGAATCGTTATACGCAGCTAATTTGTTTTTATTTTACTAGCTGTGTTTTAGTTTTACTAAGTGTTATGTTAGCAGTGTTTTCATAAATTTGATATTGCAAAAAAAAATATTAAAACTCAAAAAAATTTTTGGTAGGTTTTGGTTGGTTATGGTTTGTCTGTGGCAACGCTGATTAGCAGAAGTACCAACGCCCGCAGCAGCAGCGGACGTAGGCGCGCGTAAGATACCTTGACTGTGTCGGCGCAGGAGCGACTAAATTGCACTGTTCGTATGAGTCAATCGGCAAAGCAGGAGGCAGGTGATCAGAAGCACCAGACAGTCGAATATCATTAGACCAAGACGAGTTACCGATTTCAGTATATCCAGTAAAAAAAACTGTGGTGAAGTCCTTTATGGGGATAAAGTTTCCAGAGGTGAAATTTCTTATACGCAGGGTTGCTTTTCAGCACTAATGATAGAAACTTAAGAAATATTAAAAAAAAATGCATATAGTGCATTAATTTTTGAAAGAAATACCATATAATGTATGTACGCTGATTAATAATATTAAAAACGTATTAGAACCACCGTTTAATGTTATATTTGATACAAATTAATTTTGCTACTCGGAACGCTCTACGCATTGCCACTGAATGCTTAAAATTACATCCCTGGTCCTTGTTCTTTCTGTATTGCATCGTGGTGAATTCACATTTCTCAGAAATTTGACAACAAAACAAAATGAAGGGAGTATTTTTTTTGCTAATTTTTGCGATTTCTATTGATTAATGTAAATTTTATGTATTTTTAGGATATGTTGAGGCAACAAAGAAGGCGCACTTGTAAAATGAAGTTATTAGTATGAAGTAGGAGCTCAGGCACATTTGGAAAATTATGCCGATAATCAAGATGGAATTTGGGAAAGTATGTGCCTGGTTGCAGCATATCTATGTATTAAAAAAGGTATTAATTAAATTAAATTGTGTTTAATAGAAATGTTATAAATCGAGTGGAGTTATTTAAGATGTGCTCCAAATATTTGGCGAACTTTTTTTCGCCTTCTCAACGTGCTAAGTGACAAGGTAAGATGACTGCCACCACGGCCGTTAAGAAACCCGAGCATAGGGAAAACTACCTTCCAGGAAGCTGCCTGCTGTACCCTAGTCGAAGCTGAAGTTAAGCAAGAAGTAGGTCAGCAAACGTGCTACCCTGATCAAGCGTAAACTAAAGCGCTCTGCTGTGATTGCACTCCGCAAGCGTGAAAACTTGGAGCATGCTGAGAAATATCAAGCAAAATATCTCCGTCATGGACGCCGTGAGATGAAATTGCGCTATCTGGCAAAGAAACGCGGCCCATTCTACGTGAACGCAGAATGGCTTTTGTGATCTGTATCTACGGTATCAACAAAGTTGCACCAAAAGTGCGTAAAGCTTTACTGTGGTTCCGTCTTCGCCAGATTAACAACGGTTTGTTCATCGAATTGAACAAGGCAACCATTAATATGCTACGGATTGCCGAACCCTATATTACATGGGGCTATCTAAATCTTAAATCAGTTCGTACAAACGTGGAATTGTCAAGCACAACCATCAACGTGTCCCAAACTCTGACAACTTTGTGATCGAACGCAAATTGCGCAAAGCGCACGATATTCAGTGCGTTGATTATTTGGCGCACGAAATATTCACTGTTGGATCCCACTTCAAGAAAGCCTCCAACTTACTGTGGCCACTACGTTCAGGTTGGTGATTTCGGTAACCGGGAAAATAATATCAACAAACTGCTGCACAAGATGGTTTAAAGAAATTTTCTGGGGTACAAGGTATTTTTCATTTCAAAAATATATAATAATAAAAATAGAAAATAATGTTGTTTTTTTTTTGTAACTTTCTGAGGGTTTAACCCGTAAATATGCCAAATGGAACGTAGCTTGTATTCACAATTCCTTGAATAATGTCGAAATTCCATTGCCGTTAGTAAAGGCCATTCAAAAGGCTCCATTCCACAAATTTAATTTGTTTTGGTTTTTCAGCCCAGTAACGATGCACCCAGGATTGCATTTACCGTCTATGAAAATATTTCATGAAGTGTTCCAAAATTAGCTCTGAGCAACTAAAAGTTGGTTAAGCTTAAGTGAAATTGTTTTTTATCAAATATTTATTCCTGGTATTTATTAAACAAAAAATCAGGTCAATATTAATATATGAAATGAAGTAAATAAAAATCTAAGAATATATTTCTTGAATATTTTGTCATAGAGCCGTTATTAAATAAAGACGGGCGTTGGTCCTGACGTATATAGAATTAATGCATTAGAGAGAGATAATTATACAAGCTCAACGTGCTTATTTAGGTATACTTAAAGCTTAAACAGACTCTGACTTAATCCGGATCAACTGCAGTTAATTTCCGAGTTGATCCGGATCAACGCTGCCGTCTGTTTATGCTTTTACATATGTATGTATTTACCTGTTACTCGCCTGGCATATACTTCAACTGCGAAAATAATGACAATTAAAATTTATTTAGATGCATGTTTTAGCTAAATGTTATATCGTCGCCTGGATAAAAGATCGTTGCATGTTACTTTCGGCAGGTTTTGGGAAATAACGATTGAAGTTTGAAATGCAATTTCTCAGAAACACGACTACAGATTTTCTCCAAAGTGTCGGATAATGCTATGTACTAGTTCACGAAATTCTTATATATCTTACTTTTTAGTTTAGTATCAACCATTTCGATGGCTGAGTGGAAGATCGACCTATCTCGGCAGCCAGTTCGGAAACGCTCTATCTCAAAAAACTTTTCAAGAACGCCTTATTTCAGAATTCCTTTCAAAAACGCCCTATCTCAGCTGCCGATTCAAAAACGCCCTATATCAGCATATTTTCAATACATTTTGAAGTGAGAAAGGGCGTTTTTGAACCGAATTTTGAGATAGGGTGTTTTTCAATTAAATTCTGAAATAGGGCGTTCTTGAAAAGTTTTTGAGATAGAGCGTTTTCGAACTGGCTGCCGAGATAGGTTGATCTTCCACTCAGCCATCGATTTATGAGTTGAATAAAATTTTGTCGTATATGCCATTTGTCAAAAATGTTGCAGTCAGTTTTAAAATGTGATAAATTTTTTAATAAATTAACGATACTTTTCACTAATCAGCCTAATCGTGAGTTTCGCCCAAACAAAATTTCGCCAGAAATGTTTTCACCCACCCGTGGTGAATACACGGAAACGAAAAGTGAAAAGGTGGCCCGGTTCGTGAAAATGAAACTCATGATAAGGCTGAATATGTCGGAAACTAAAGCAGATATTTAAAAACAGATGACGCTATTTGAAAGATCTTAATTAGTTTAGTACGACAGAATTACTAACGTAATTTGTACCAAATGATTTTAGTCAATTACTCGGAAACTAAAGAAGATATCCAAAAACAAAAAAAACTGTTAACATAAAAGCGAAATATCTGATTTTAAAATTCATAACTGCATCTTTAACTAAAAACTGTCAAAATTACGCTTACGGAAATTTTCCATCCAAGCGACGATATTTGAATGTTACTGGCATAATTTCGAGCCTGTATGTAAATTATCGGTGATAAAGTTAAGAAGTATATTCATATGCTGAAAAGATATTTTCGCAGACTCACAATTTATTTAAAGTATATCATCAACCCTATTTCCAATTCTATGTGAATAAATCGCTCCCATAATTTAATTTGTGCATTCACTATATTTCACAATTAACTTACAATACTAAATTACAAATATTTGTGCAACCACTTCGACACAGTAAATAAAAAATGGGTATTAATAAAATAAGTATTCTTAATACATTTATATTTCAGTTAAACATGAGATGTTCAAGCGCACTGCTATATTTTTGTATCCATTTCTAAAATCATTTTCACCACATTTAATTGCAGCACAACACCCTAATTGCCGATAAAGCGTTGCCTGCAGCCCTAGTCCTTTATGGGGACCAGTGTTGCCAGGTTTTCCGCATGAGAAAACGTCCCTCTTGGTCTGAAAAAACGTCATTTCCTACCCAAAAATGTTTTTTCCATGTATGCACACAGAATTGTTATTATTAAACTTTTATTGTATACAAAGGTACATATGTACGTAAGGTATATTAAAATGTCATCTCGACAGAGCAAATTTAAAATTCATTAGTGGTATTCACCAAAGTGAGCAAGTGGCCTAGCACTCTGCATCAGATGAGCTCAAGCAACGACTGTTGACAACAATTTGGTGAATACCACTATTGTAAACTGGTTTGAGATCATTAATATGAAAATCATTTTATACATACACTTGAGCTGATTAAGTCATCAACATTTTGATCGATTTTGGCTGTTTTTCTTTTGTTTATTTAATTTTTATTATTTTTTCATAAAAGCCTAGCTCATTATATAACTAACACAATATAAATCCACATTTCGAGCTTTGTGCAAAAATTATGAAAAATCTGCAAAGTTTCAGCTAGGTTTTCAAGTTTTTATTCAGATTTGATAGCCCATTAAATTCCAGGATAATAATGTGCAAGTTTTAGGTTGCTAAAGAATCGCGTGGATTTTTAATATTTTTTTTTCTTGTAGACTTTTGATTAGGTGGTCGGTGGTCGAAAATGCTAAATTACGTTCAGCTAAGAAGAAACATAGTGCTTTTGCGAGCGTGCGTGTTGCAATAGATCAGCTTTTCCTGATTTGGCTTTTAATATGCAATTGCAAACATTGTAATAAGCCTTGTAACCTCAAGTGTTTACACAACCAGCCTTTGAACGCGGGACCCCTAGTGCGCGTACGCTTGGTTTGCATCATATTTAAGTCATATATGTCCAAAGAATAAATATCTTTTGAGGCACCTGCTGCAAAAACAAAGCTTGTAAAGATTTATTAAGAAAATAATTCAAATTCAGTTCTACTTACAAGGTTTAGTAACAAATTTGCCGAAAGTGTGAGCGTAAGTACTTACTCTACAAGCAAATAGTACGCTATACATGGAATATATTGTCAATAGAGAAATATTACTGGGAAGTTAAAAAACGTAATTTTTCCCACAAAAAACGTCCAAACGTGAACAGGATACAAAAAAACGTCCAAATGACGTTGAAAACGTCAAACTGGCAACGCTGATGGGGACCAAATTTGGTGAAAAAAAACAGCTAAGTTTACTGGATATACTGAGGTGTTATTTCTTCATTTGACATAGCTTTGCCGCTGTTGCAAGATCCGGCAACGTCTTTGGCCTCTGACGTTTTTTACCAACTTCAAACTCACTGTCATCGTGGCGATCGCTGATTGGCTGTTGCAATTTGCTATGTCAAATCGGGAGAAGTCCGGACAATTGACAGGCGAGTATTGGTTGGACTTTTTTTGGCAGTCGGGAGACGAAGACAAGTTTTTTAACGTAGCTAAAGTATTACTGAATATTTGATATTAATTGTTATTTAAATTATAATACAAAATAAAGGGCACGTTTAAAAAAAGTCAACATTTTAAAAAACTTTCCCTAAGCACAATGTCAGAGGAAAAACAAATCACTGGCGCCGCTATGAAGGTTTACAGTTGCTGCTTCTGTAAAGCAGTCGACAATCCGCACATGATCAAATGCCAAAAATGCAAGAAGACGTTCCATCGGAAATGTGTTGGCGTTGGGAGCAATGTGAACCGACAACGGTGGGTTTGCAAAATATGTTCTTCCGCTGATGTTGCAGCGGAGCCGGACAAAAATGTGACTGTCGTACGAGATTCTGAGCAAACCTCTGACAATGATGCATCTGCCTCATGCCCATCAGGCGCTACTACTGGGAACTTGGGCACTTCTGAAATTACCCAAATATCAGCCGCAGCGCCTGAAAATCACAAAAGCTTCATAGACAACATATCGCTGCAGCAATCTCTTTTTGCTTAAAATAATATCGACGCAACCTCTTTGATGCTAATGGGTGCAAATGCCCTTAGTTGCCAAGGTAGCCTCACCACCGGCGCGGCGTCAAAAGTGCCGGAGAAGACAAAGTATGCGCGACCTCCACATCAGCCAATAAACGCAGAGATGCAACTAGGAGAGGAACGGTATCGTCCTTCGAGTCCAGCAAGACATTCGTCGCGAGCATCAGCAGGTAGTAAGATTCGTTTGCGCGAGGAAGAGAAAATTCTCAAGAAAGAAGCGGATATTCTAAAGCAGAGACAGGAGCTCTTAAATAAACGCAAAGATCTCCTTCGACGCATGGAGGTAATGAGTACCGACAGCGATTCCGATGACAGCGGACAACGGGTCCCAAACCAGCGATATAGTCGTTCGCAACATGTGGACACATGTAAAATTGGCGATGTACAGACGCAGAATGATCCGGCAACAACATCCATACAGTGGCTTCCTAATATAATTCCGTTAAGCTCTGCCTCAGATCCAGTAACTAGCAACAATCTATGTGAAGAGAATAGTTTCGATCGTACAACACAAGAAGTACAGCAGCGCCGCTTGACACGTAACCAACTCGCCGCGCACAAGCGTAGGTAAGGAGCTGCCAAAGTTTGGTGGCAAACCAGAGGAGTGGCCTCTTTGAAAATATAATAAGGCTTCGAAAGTCTCTAGAGGGACCAGCTCGTCAATCGGCCAAAAAATTACTGCTGCATTCGCAATGTGTTCCGCAGGTAATCGCAACGTTGAAGATGAAGTTCGGCAGACCAGAACTAATATTCAACGTTTTACTTCAACAAATTCGCAACATGCCCCTCAAACGCAAGACAACCTAGATGGCCTTGTTAACTTTGCTCTTGAAGTACAAAACGTTTGTGCATCCATGAAAGCTTCCGGGCTCCAAACGCATTTAAATAATCCGGAACTGGAGCACAAGTTGGTGGCCAAACTGCCCGGAATATTCCAAGCATTCTGGGGAATGCACAAGTTGACGGTAGGAGAAAGTAATCTGGAACATTTTAGCAACTGGTTGTTCCAACTTGCCTAAGGTGCCAACAGTGTAATTCTGCCCGGTTCATCGCAAAAGGAACGCAAACGTGGTGTCGTGAATACGCACTCTGAAGGCAGTATGGGACCAAAAATGGTAAGCTGTATCGTATGTAAGTCTGATGCCCATGCAATCTGCACCTCGTTCAAGGAAATGTCGCGAGGTGATAAATGGGAGATAGTGCGGAAGCACAAACTATGCCGGCGATGCTTGCGTCCACATAGCTCGTTTAACTGCAAATCAAAAATAGTATGCGGTATTGACTATTGCACCCTGAGACATCATCCAATGCTGCACAAGGTACCAGCTGATTCTGCCACAAATACAGTATACACGCATATAAGTGAAAGCAACACAGTACGGTTTCGTATAGTACCAGTAATACTATACGGTGGGGGTACTCAAATATCAACATACGCGTTCCT